TCGCCCTTGACGATCTCGAAAAAGCCGAATGCCTAGCAGACAGTCTAGAGTACCAGTGCACGCCATCCACCGCACCAATAGATCCCGCTCACCTATTAGAGGTAGAAACTGAAGTAGAACGTAGGTCCGCGCTGCCACCAGCGGGTGAACCTCTCGATCCTGTGACAGTAGATGAAGTCACCGAAACCATTAAAAGTCTTAAAAATAGATCAGCCCCTGGGCCAGATGGCATCAGCAACAAGGTTATCAAATCCCTTTCGGCGCCACTTATTTGCCTCCTTGTAGGAATATTTAACACCTTTCTCACGAACTGCTCTTTCCCGGACATCTGGAAAGAAGCAGACGTAATAGGGATCCCAAAACCGGGTAAACCGCGTAATCGTCCCTCTAGTTACAGACCCATTAGCCTGCTCAACACATTGGGCAAACTATACGAGCGCATTATTCACAAGCGTCTCCGTCATTACACCGAAACTAACGGACTCCTCCCAGACGAACAGTTCGGCTTTAGAGCCAATCACTCATGCACTCACCAGATTCATCGCCTAACAGAATACATCCTGTCTGGCTTCAGTCAAAACCCGTTAAGGAAAAAGTCTCGAAACACGGGAGCCCTCTTCTTCGATGTCGCGAAGGCGTTTGACAAGGTCTGGCACGATGGCTTGATTTACAAGCTGTACAAACTGAACGTGCCCGATAGGCTCGTGCACATCATACGAGCTTTCCTTTCGAACCGCACTTTTCGATATCGAGTGGAGGGAACTCGTTCTTCGAAACGTTTCCTCAAGGCCGGGGTTCCACAGGGCTCCGTACTATCTCCACTCCTTTTCACACTTTTCACAAGTGATATCCCAAAAGACCCCGTAGTGAACACAGCTCTCTTTGCCGACGATACGGCGCTCTTTGTGTCAGACCCCAACAAAAATAGACTCGCTATAAAGCTCCAAAAAGCGACCAATCGCCTTGGTGAATGGTTTCGCCTATGGAGAATTGACGTGAATCCCGAAAAAAGTGTAGCAGTATACTTTCAACGGAATTCTACAGGAGGTTCTAAAACCAAAACAATCTCTCTATACGACCGCAATCCCTTGGGAAAAATCGGCCAAATATCTAGGCGTCACTTTCGACTCCCGCATGAGTTTCAAGACGCACATAAGTGTAGTACGCAACAGAGCCATGTCAATAATTGGCCGTCTACACCCCCTCGTTAACAGTAAGAGTAAACTGTCGCTAAGACACAAACTCCGGCTGTACAAAACCTGCATTAGACCGGTTATATCCTATGCAAGTGTAGCCTTCGCCCATACATATAAGACCCATTTATTAAAACTCCAAAAAGTACAAAATTTTTTCATCCGGAAAGCCACCGGCGCACGGTGGTATCAACGGAACTCTGACTTACACAATGATTGTGAACTACCATCTATCTCCGAATATTTTAAGGAGATGTCCCAACGCTACTTTGATAAAGTAGAAACCCACCCAAACCCACTAGTGGCAAACGCAGCTAACTACGTTCTGATAGCAAACGTCGCGCCCTATCTCCGTAGACCGCGAAATGTTTTAATAGAACCAACTATATCGCTCGATCCAGTCGACCCAAGCGTCGCAGGCACATCACGCAACGACACTACACTCACACTAAATGGTACAAACACAGATAGGAGAACGAATGGGACGCGTCGCACCCGCAGACGGGCACGACGCGTTCCAGCTCACACCGCGTACACACCGTACACCCGCGTTCCTGGACGGTTCTCACCGCCCAGACCATCGACCGATACGAGCTGAGCAGTCAGAGACGGGGGTCCGCACCCCCCCCTCGGACAGCGGTTAGATAGCTCAAAGAAAAACGCCTAAAAGGCGACATGATGATTGATAACAATATCAAATCATAAATCATTCATCATCATTTCACCTCATTGCCTTTCCCTTTTTAATTAGCTCGCGGCCTTGCAGGCCGCAAGCCCTGAGACAAGATGAGGCTGTAAGAGTCGCATAGACTAACAGCACTAACATCTAGATAATAGACTATTTAATGACATAGACGTTTACTTAGAAATTTGAAGTTAAATTTATCTTGCTTTTAATATGGCGAAAAATATTATTATTCTTGAAAATTAAATTCATGTTTTATTTGAGGAAGCACCTAATGTATTTTTTTTTTGCGCCCGAAGCAATTAAAGGGCTACCCTATACGTAGGGAGGCGGAAAATGCATTACGCATACCACGATAGCCGGTCTATCGTGGTTATGAGGGGCTCACTGTCCTACCGGGGACCCTAAGTGATACCCTCTAAAAAACCGCCTTTGGGGACAGGCAACCGGCTGATTAAGCTCTATTGTGCCTTATCATGAGCGACCCTCTTTTGGGAAAAGAGGGCGCAGGCGGCTAAGTGCCGCTGAGGGAGTGCCTACGAAGGCAAATTAATGTTAGATATTACAATAATTTTATTTAATTAGAGTTGGCCTGAGCCGCCAGGAGACAGTTCAGGTCGTTTGAAAGTTTATTAGGCGGGTCCGAGAGAGAGTTTCTCGGCCTGCGGACACGATAGCGAGAGGTGGGGCTGCATAAGAAGCTGCCTCACGAATTAAATGGTTTGGGTGCGACTCTGAGGCTTTGAAGAAGTTCTCAGAGAGTTTTTTAAAAAATTGTTGAATTGTTGGGAGCTCTAAGTCCCGATGAAGGTCGGCATTACGGACGTACCACGGTGCGTTCGCAGCTCGACGACAGAAGAGGTTCTGAACTATTTGGAGTTCATTTAAAATGTTAGGGTTTGCGTGGGCAAAGACGGGGCCCGCGTAGGACATGACTGGTCGTATACAGACCTTGTAAAGGGTACGCTTGTTTCGAAGGGACATTTTACTGTGTCGGCCCAACATACTGTTGAGCCTACTCAGATAAAACCGTGCGTGACGGGTTACTCTTTTGACGTGGGGCTTGAAAGTGAGCCCTGTGTCTAGAGTGACACCTAAATATTTGGCGGACGTATGCCAGGGGACAGGGGTCCCTAGCATACGTATTGGTGGAGTGTTTTTGAGACGGCGTCGTTTATAATCGAAGTGAACGTCGGAGCTCTTCTCCGGGTTCACATCGATCACTTAATGTAGCTGAAAAGTACTAGATATATATGTTTGAGAGTTGACCAGGGATGCAGAGTTTACAAAACTGGTTCAAGCGTTCAAAACTTTAGAAATCCGCCAAGAGAAACGTAATTCAAAAAAAAATATTGCATAGGTAGCTTTTCGGTTGCACTTTCAAATTCCTTTTTTCTTAATAGTCTTACAAAATAACAAAATCTTAATAGTCTCTGTTATAATATCCATATATTATTATTTTCTTAAATGTGGACATAATTCTTTTCTAAAATTAATGCCTCTCAGTAACGAACAAGTTATTAAAAAAATATCCATAAAGTGTAATTTTTTTTAAATTTTACAACCTTTTCAAACGGACAAAAAAAATAATCTTTTTTTATATTCTTACACTGTAGAGGAATGTTCAGAATATAAAATTTCAAGCTCATCAGGAGAGCCATGCCACAGTTCTATTAGTAGTATAGTTGTAGCACGAATGGTTCGGCTCGACCGGGGAAAGACCACGCTCTCTCAGAATACCAGCGTAAAATAGTAGCTTAATGCTGCTGTGTTTTGTATGGTGGGTGTAGAGAACTGAAGACCCTTTTTACTGGAAACAAGGCATTCCATCTTAGTCCTCACGGGTGACAACGCATCTGCATTTTGATTCGTAATTGAGGATAGATGTAGATATCTATGGGCCACAGCAACCACTTACCATCAGGTGGATTGTGTGCAAAAAAAAAGTAAGTTTAAAATTATATCTGTTCGGGTCGAACAGATATCCGCGAAAGGGAGTTTATAAAAACTTTTTAAAAAGGGTTCCTGTTTTTCCTCTTTATATATATATATATATATATATATATATATATATATATATATATATATATATATATATATATATATACTGTATATATTAAAGTGAAATTTACATCCTATGTAGTTTTCACTGCTGGGCACAGGTCTCTTTTCATTGTCGAAAAGGTTGTCCAGTATATAGTGGCAGACATTGCCGGTGGAGATCAAACCTGAAACACCGGCGAATTGCGAAATTTACGGCGACTGCTTAAAGTTGAGCAACATCCGCCAATTTCTTTAAATTACTTCAAATTCTCCATATTTTTATGAGTTATTGTCACCATTGGACTAATATAAAATGTCGGGCTACTAGGAAGAAGGGTGTTCGGTACGCGTCACTAAAAGTACGAAATACAGCATAATTATGCTGTTATTTACGATATAATTTTGTTATGAAATAAAACACAGATTTCTGTGGATAAAATAGACACGTTTTGCTTTGACGTGCACTCCACAGGCTACTGAAAAGTCACTTTAAATCTACTTTGCAAATGCAATTTCAACAATCAATGATCATTAACGGCCGGTCTCAATTCCCTACAATCAGTTATAAGTAGATAGCTAAGCAAGGTAAACAGTTAAGTTTAAACTATCTGTTACTGTCGTCTCAATATCGTAATGTTCGAAAGCTTACTAGAGATAAAAGGCAGATAGTTCATGATAACTTTGGTTAATGCGTCCCTCCTAAGCGTTTTGTTTTTGCTTCGAAGTGAATTGCGTCGCGTTCTACAATAAAATATAAATGATGTATTTAAAATATTATGATTAATATATAATGTTTTTAATTATTTTTGTTATTAATTTTTAATATAATATTGACAATTATCCTTTATACACATTTCTAAATTAAGGCTTTCTTCAAATAATGATAAACTTTTATCTTAAAATACGAAGAAACGATACAAAGCAACAAAACGCAGCGCTTGGCGTTGCTTGACTTGACAATTGACATTGACAGTTTGTGTACACCACCACAACCAAACCTCAAGAAGCTCAGCAGAAATATACTACACATAATATAATTGTTTATGTATAGCATTAATTTATTAGCGATAAACATTAACATGGCTCAACAAAATACTGTAAGTATTGTGAACTCTTTGCCGTGATATATAAATTTACAGTAATGTTACAAAAGCTTGGGTCTTTGTCTCAAAGTCGCGCCAAAAATGTAAGGCACCTATAAAATTTTATTTCAGATGAAGACAAGGGCCCTTGTTAAGGACGAAATACTCTTTCTGCTTGACTTGATTTCCAAACAAAAAGTAATTACTACTAAAGCAACGAATGCCACAAATAATAAATTAAAGGAAGAGGCTTGGAAATCCATAGCGCAGGAGTTTAGTGCGATGGCGGGAGAATTGCGGCGTCCTGAGCAACTACGCTTAAAGTGGGAAAACTTAAAGAAGTAATCAAGAAAACGCAATGCATTGATAAGACAAAATAATTTAAGGGTTTGTAATAAGTACATACATTAAATATTTTGTGACATTTTGTTAGATATACCTAATCATCTTAGAATTTTTTTTTATGTAATATTTCTATTGAAACATTTTTATTTGCAGACTGGTGGTGGAAAGATGTACATCCCTCCCGATGAAGCACTAGATCGTGTAACATCTATGTTAGGTGCAACATGCACGGGGTTCACTGTGGAGTTTGGTGGTGATGGGGAAAGTGAAATGATTCCACCAGATGCAGTGGTGGAACTCATGGATTTACAACCTTTACCGGAGCATTCAGAGGCTGTAACTAGTGATTTGGTGATGGGAGGTGGTGGTAGTGCTGAGTGTGGTAGTGCTGAGTGTGGTAGTGCTGAGTGTGGTGGTAATAGTGAGAAAATTTTCATACCAAAAAGATTTACTTTTAATAATCCTTACAAACCCGGTAAGTTGTAGCTGTAATATTTTACCTCAGTTGTTACTAGATAATTTATAATTTTGTACAACCAACTTCAATATAAATTATTAAGAATAACTCAAAAACTTTTGGTCAGACCTTGATCAAATTTATATTAGACCACATGTGAAGCACCAGCTTTCAAATAAAAAAAGAATCATAGAAATCGGTTCACCCAGTAAAAAGTTATGAAGTAACACACATAAAAAAACATACAGTCGAATTGAGTACTGGCTCCTTTTTTAAAGTCGGTAGACAAAACAGACCGCCTCTCTATGGCCTAATAGTGTGATTGCTTGTTGCAGGTTTTGTTACAACTTTGTGTATTTTTTTCTGGTTAATGAGGAAAATCTAAAGGCTGACCACTCAATTGTCTGACAAACAAGATAAATTGTGAAATAGGCTATATTAGTTGGTTGTGGGTAATCTCTAATGTAGTTTGGATAGTAGTTGTTACTAATGTTTTTTATGTCATCTCCTATGCCCGATCTCTGTGGTCATCAGTCATCAATTCTATCAAGCTAGGAGAGTGTAAAATATGAGAATTTAACTATGTTTTTTATTTTCACAGTAAAGAAACGCCAAAAACCCTCTGAAGAACTATTACGGGCTCAGTTAAGCAAGGAATTAGCCATGGCTGCTTATTTTGAAGCCAAAACTGAAGTGGTTAAACTTGAAAAAGTTAAACTGCAGCTAGAAATAGAAAAAATTAAATAAGTGACTTGTGATTATTATAGTACTAATGTTAAGATTTAGTAAATAGTGATAATAAGGTGTATTTTTTTATAAGTTATGTAATGTTTTTGTTAAGTTCATTCTAAAATAAAATCTATTTTTACATTGATTTTTATTTGACATTTTTGAAATAAAATATATATTGAAATAAAGCACATTTATTCTAGTATAATTTAACATTATTTACACATTAAAATTCTTATATAATTAAACATAATTTAAACACTAAAATAATTATTAATTAGCTGTTGTCTGACACTGTGATTTTGTTGACCTATCCCTTCAGCATAGGTAATGTCACCTGATTCTTGCGGCATTGCAACTTCTGGATCTACATCCCTAATATTATTTAATCTGCAGATGTTGTGTAATACAGAAGTGGCAATAATAATGGCCTGTGTTGTCTGCGTAGCTACACGGATTTTTAGCATTGATTGAGAGTATTGGAAAGCGCCTTTTCCACACACCAAAACATCTGAAAAGTTACAAAGTATTTTATATTATATTCATGAAATTTTAAAAAAAATATTAATAAAATAATATTTACCTTTCAATAGTATTTCTAGTCTTTATATGTGCTTCATTGTAACGATTCTCTGCAAGAGATGTGGCGTTGAGCAGTGGTGTCAAAAGATATGAAGTACAGGGATATGCACTGTCTCCAATAAGCCATCTATTGCCAAACAATCCCTCTTCACATTGCACTGAAAATAAATAACAAAGAAATATTAATCATGTTTATGTGATGACCTATTATTATAATCTTCTAGATAACTAAGTACCTACTTACTTTTTAGCGTAGAGTTGTTAAATATAGTAGCATCATGAGCAGACCCAGGCCTACGGGCAACAACATTCATAAATAACAAGTCTGCATTACAGACTCCTTGGACATTCATTGAAAATATGCCTTTTCTATTTCTGAATTCTTCTCCTATATTTGAATCTGCAAAAATGATGACTGTTATTGGGTATAATCTATATAAATAAATAAATCTATACTTAATAATATTATAATAAAGAATTGTATGCATGTTTGTAGAAGTTGATCCAATTCTGGCCAAACTTGGATTAAGTTCTACGTTTGAGTTTCAGGTCACTAGATGGCCTACGTAAAAAGATTCTGCCTAGATCTACTTAATATAAATATTTATTTATTTGATACTACTAACCAGGTGACTGTATGGGAACATGCGTGCAGTCAATTGCGCCAAGAATTCTTGGAAATCCTGCGATTTCATGAAAGGCATTCTGGGTATTGCTTAATGTCTTCACATATTGAGGGTATAAGCCAGCTATAGCCCGAGATACATGATGCACAATTCGGCTGGCTGAAGCTTTCGATACACCAATAAAGTCCGCTAGTGATAAAAGCATTGTTCCCAGTGCATAAAATCTCAAGGTCAGCTACAACTGATGTAACGGCGATATTCCTTTATTCCTAAAATGTTAAATATAAGTAAAATAAAATCACAATAACTGTCATTCATATTATGTTGGGTGGCATATTTCGACGATACATATAATGTAACCAAATTTTGTTCACAAGTTTCTTTACTCACCTTGAAGAAATTACTTTTAAGGATGGTGTTATTTTCAATAATAACTCATTCACGGACGTTTTATTTAATCTAAATCTATATGTAAATTCAAAGTCAGAAAATTCACTTCTGTAATTTATTCGATTATAAAGTCGGCGATTTTCAGTATCTACAATACCTCCGGAATCAAAAACACCTATCTCATACATTTCATTATCACTTTCATCACTGAACAAATCCATTTTTTAGATATTAAATAGGTTTTATTTATTTAAAATCACGACAAATATTTGCTAACTCTCAAAATTGGGCGATAGACAAAACTCTAACATCTGGTAATTTGAACTATCGCCAGTTAACTGCCAATACGTTATTGAAACAGTCAGATGTTTTTTTTCTATGAACCCACTTAACTCAGGTAGTCGTTAAGTCCTCCGAAGGGTAGATCAATGTGATGGTTAAACATTTCTATCTATCTTTGATTATTGAAACGGAAAAATGTAACTATAGATACCAATGGTAGCCATTTTAACTTCCAGTAAGAGATAGATAAGTTATTGAGACCGGCCGTAAGTCAATCTCTTAGTAATTATTTGTTGGCAATATTTTAGAATTCTTTGGCGACAATTCCTACGAATTGGTATTGTATACTCGTGAATATCTACTATGTACACTGACCTCTATATATATGTATATACTGTGACTATGTACAACTGTTAGACCATAGACTATTTTGTGTTTGAGATTGGCAGAATTTACGATAACAATTAAAAAAGAAATACATATTAGTTTATAAATATTAGCTTTACGTATTCATGTACAGATTTTTAATTTACTGTAATTAACTTTGTAACTACATAGCAATTTTAATGAATAATAAAAGGAAAAGCTCATAACATAGTACCGAAGACTTGATCTTAATGGAGCCCATATGTTACACCCCCGTCTGTGAATTCATTACACCAGCTTGTATAACTAACTTGATTTAATGTTTTTAGGGAAGTTATAAAATCTAAAATTCTGAATTATTATGCAAATTCTTAGGTTTAATTAAACAGGGCCTTTAAACGCCGTTATTTCATACAAATGTTAATTGCACATATCCTACAACTACACTTTTGTAATTTCTGCGCCGCGATTTTATCCGGGTTAGAAATTAGTTTTTCAGGGGAGAATTTTGTAAGTGTAACAATGACAATTTATCTTTTACACATGTTGAAGACCCACTTTGAGGTGCAGTTTCCATATAACCGCGTGGCACAACCCTACCGTACAATGGCGCCGCAAGGGAATCCCTGACCCTTACCTGCGTGTGGATGTCATAAGAGACAGCAGAAGGAAATTAAACAAGAGATGGACAGTAGCATCTTCATTAAGAATTTAAAATAAAATAACTGCAGTTGTTAACCCGCACGCACAGTGTGACAACTGTGGCAAATATGAGGGAGGCCTATGTCAAACTGTGGGCTTTCAATAGGTTGCAATTATGGTGATGATGATTATAGTGATATGCCTTAATCAAGTTTTGAGGCATAAATTTAGTGGTGATCTGAAAACTTTACCGCTTATACTAAAAGGTAAATTTGAAGCATCGTGGAAATGAGAAGGTAATAAAATAATCCAACGGCCTAACAGTGTTTTACATGAGAGCGATATTTCCAATTATTTGATACTCATTTAATTGCGCTTGGATTATTGAATATAGTTTTTAGACATGGTTTTATACGTATTCGGTGCTGAAGTCAACATTTTGAAGGGGAAGAAAGCGAAGCTTCTAACCTTCAAATAATACAATACGAGTCCGCCAACTTTCCTGATATATTGTTATTTTTCTTAGCTCTATTACCCTCATAGAATTTAAAAAAGAGATGAGATTATTACTTTGGAACAGGATTTAAAGACAGTTATTTTATGTGTAGGATTTTTTATTGTTCATTTGAAAAATGCCCAAGTCTTTAGCACACCCTTACTTATTTCTGCCGTCTAATTGTTTACTTCTGGATTCGTGTTTAAAAACATAATTATGTAATCCATATTTCATCTTAAACATCAGGAGTGACACCGCATGTACCATACATGCGGTGTCACCCCTCCTCATTGTTTCAAGTTGGTTGCAGCTCTTTAGGGATGCAGTAGCTACTTAACATGAAATGGATTTTAGCTTGCTTATCATCCATATTCAAAATATAAAAAAACCGTTATTTATTATTACATTTTGAATGGTACATGTGTGGCTATGAAATATTCTTTAGAACCTTTTAATAATTTTTGTGGTACTCATCCTTTCATCATTACACTCTGTCACAAGTACACTGATGAACGTATGTCTCTCCAAAAATGTCTAGTTAGGTACTATTAGTTTAGAACACAGTTCGTCGTATTAACCCTTAACCACTTACCCGCGGTCACCATGACCGCAAAGGTTTTTTAATCGTTTATATCTCGACGTATGTTTGTCTTACGCTTGTGTGCGTTCATTTACCTTCTCAAAATATCGGTTAGTAACGCGCTGTCGCTCGACATGTGTCAACGTGCGCGCATTCAGCTACAATAAATAAGACACTTTCGTAAGCGGTCACCCTGACCGCACGTAAGTGGTTGTGTGATTATTTTGTCTTGATATTGTTTTTTGTTGTTTTGGTGTAAAATGAGTATAAACGACGAAAATATTGCGCGGTGGTTAGAAATAGAAGTGTCAGATGAGGAGGAGATACTGAATGAAGATACCAGCGACGTGGAGCTCGATGTTGCGGAAGATTATGTGCTCCAAGAGGACTGTGAATATGACTCTGAAGGTAGCAAGAGCGGATCGTCTTCATAAGAAGAGCAATTTCCGCTTGGGAAAGAAGATGATGTTTCTTCGTTTTTTATTTACTCACGAAGTAGATCGCCAGTTACGCGTGACAGCTTTTCATCAGAAGATGAGGTTTCTCTCGTGCAACAACAAACTTCGAGAAGGAATTTTTTTGGCAAGAACCGATTCCGATGGTCTTCTACGCCTTGCACTATAATTATAGTCGTTCGAGAACTCTGCGGCATAATATAGTTTCACAAGCGCCAGGAGTAAAGCCAGCATATCGAGATATTCTTACCAATGATACTATTCTCGATATTTGGAAGCTTTATTTCTCAGATGAGATGCTTGAAAAAATTGTTCAGCATACTAATGAAAAAATAAGGAAGATGAGACCGCAATACAAAAAATAAACGAATGTTCAGGATTTGGATCTCATGGAGTTGAAGGCCTTTATTGGTATTTTATTCTACTCTGCTATCTTTAAAGAAAATCACGAACAATATACTTCATGGTATAATACTAATGGTTCTGGAAGAGAAATATATCGCTGCGTAATGAGTAAAAGTAGATTAGAAATTTTGTTGAATGCTGTTCGTTTTGATGATGCAGAAACTAGAGAGCAGAGAGGCTGATCTGTCAGCTCCTATATCGGAACTGTTTGCTTCGTTTATCCAGCAATGCCAAGAAATCTACAACATACGTACCTGCGCTTGTGTAGACGAGATGTTAGTGGCTTTCCGTGGTCGCTGCAAATTCAAAATGTTTATGCCAAAGAAACCAGATAAGTACGGCTTGAAAATAATGTGCCTAACAGACGCAAGAAATGGTTATATTGTCAATGCTTACATTTATTTAGGCAAAGGTTCTGATGGGCTCACTTTGACTGCGGAACAACAGCGACTATCGAAGCCAACTCAAGCAGTTTTACGTCTCATATCTGTTATTGAGGGAACTAACAGAAACATCACGGCTGACAACTGGTTTTGTTCTGTAGAACTTGTCAATGATTTGAAAGATAAACAATTGACTTTTGTTGGTACTTTGAAAAATAAAACAAGCGCGAAATACCTCCAGAATTTAAGGCATCTAAGAAAAGAACAGTTGAATCATCGGTTTTCGGTTTCACCAAAGATATGACTTTGTCATCTTATGTACCATATAAGAACAAGGCTGTTATTATGATTTCGAGCATGCACCATACAGCAAGCGTTGATGAAAATACTAAAAAAAAACAGAAATCATTATGTACTATAATAAAACGAAAGTAGGCGTCGATTTACTGGATCAAAGGTGTTCAAATTATTCTACAGCTCGTCGTACTCAAAGATGGCCAATGGTCATTTTTTTTAGATTGTTGGACATATCGCTTTCAAACGCCTACATTGTCAGTTTGTCTAATCAGGCGCAAAAGACCGGAAGTAGATTCAAGTTCATAAAAAAATTGGCAGAACAGTTAACACGACCGCACATGGAGCGACGAAGAACGAATGAACACATTCTGCGGGATATTAGAGGTTCCATTGGCCGAATACTTCAAGTAGAAGAAGAAATTCCAAGCAGTTCCGGTGCTGACAAGCTGGAAACTCGCAAGACCTGTTCAACCTGCGACCGAACGTAAAACATTTCACCTTTGTTTTGTATGTAAAAAAGCCAATATGTGTAGAATGTTAAAAGATGTGCCGTAATTGCCGCGAAAAAATTTAAACTTTTAGTACTTGCATTTTTTTTAAACAATTAACTTTTTTTTGTTTTTTTTTTTTGATTTCATTAAGTAATTATTATTTTAAGTATAATTATTAATTTAACTAAAATTGATCTCAATAAGTACAACTTCCAAGTTCCTTTTTTTACAGATCTCATTTTCTAAAGAAATAAAATTTTTAAGGGTTAATTAAGAGGCTAGCAAAAAATACTAGGTTTTAAATGGCAGAGCAAAACATATATATTTTGTTATTTTTAGTTTCAATAAATAGTAATAGTATATATCTATGTAGTTTTCATATATCCTTCCCGATTTTAACCTGATTATAGTATAAACATGACGATAACTCTGGAGCGGTCACTATGACCGCACGTAAGTGGTTACGTGACAGAAAACAGAGGTAAGTGGTTAAGAGTTAAGTGACTGAAAAAAGACAATTATCAAAATCTGGAAAGATGTGAATGGGTCAACTGCATCACGTTCATTCATTCATCACAACCTATGAAATCCCTGCTGATCATAGAATTTCCACACAGATTGCCTCGTAAAGGGGATTTTGCCATAGTTGCCAACCGGTTGGTAACGGCTGCTTTTATTCTTTTGATTTGTTATCAAGAAGATGCTGCTGCAGTTTCCCTTCTTGTTTCAGTTTCCATCCTCCGCCTCTTAAGACACCCATGGGAACATATGTGGTGACGGATATTCTCTTATATCCACTATACGGATTATAAATGATGCCGAAGATACGATAAGACGAAGTCGTTATATCTATTCGTTAATATTCACACGTTGATAAAATGTGTCTAAATTTTCTGAAAAGTGAATGAGGAAATATTGCCTCTTTAGTGTGACGTAAAATTCTCTTTTATTTTACGACGCCTGGTAATAAATGCTAAAATGTAAAAAGTTATAATCATTGTAGGTGAGTCAGAAACGTGCTTTGTGGCATTCCTTGGCCAATGTTCAGCAGCGAACTTGTGAAGAGCTGTAATGATGATGATGATGAATATTCAATTTAGAATAAAGAGATACCTAAATCTAGGTATACGAGTATACTAATACGTGAACAGAAAACAATGTAACTTTTAAATCTTATTGAGTGCATGGAGGTTTGTCTATTTTGGCATAGTTAAAGTTTTTATGGAAAATGGGTGCAGAAAGGTGAATTTATATATAATACGTATTTACAAACACATTCAGTAAAATAAAATAAAACAAAACATTCATTATTAACGTTCATGCTACCAATGTCAAACTCATAATATAATCATAATATATAGTTTGTATTCGAATAGTCTCACAGAGTAGAGATTATTGCCAAACATTTCAAATTATTCTTAACAAATTATTACTACTTAACCTTGTATTCTTTCAAATTTTCCTTTTTATTGAGATAGCCGTGTATTTATACAACCCGATTTTTTTTATTATTTATGGTTGAATATCGATAGTATGTGATAAATGCATCAAAATAGCAGTATAAAATACAAAAATAAAACATTTAATTATGTCCATCACTTGTGTATTTTACGCTGTCACCTCATATGACACCCACGGGTAAATATGGATGGGGTAATGGATACTCACACTCACTTTGACCGCCACTACACGGCTTAAATTGTAACTCATACAACAGTCCGATACTAGAAAATAGCGTTACCGGTGCTTGTTGAAATATTAGAAGTGGTAATTTACTTAGTTTTATATCAAATAATATTTTGAATGGAATCTGGTTTGATAAATATTCCAATGTAGACAAAAAAGAGATGACTTATGCGTACTCCCATTCATTTTTATAGGCTTCTTTTTACTAAACATTTAAAATTAATTTAAATTCTTGCAATATCATTTAACCGGGATACCTTAACTGCGCAGAATTAAATCTACACCAATGCCAAGAAACTGAAAAAAAACAACAATATATATATATATATATATATATATATATATATATATATATATATATATATATATATATATATATATATAGTTGTAGTACAAATGAGTCGGCTCTACCGGGTAATGACCACGATCTCACAGAATACCATCGTGAAATAGCAGCTTCACGCTGCTGTGTTTCGTATGGCAAGTGTAGAGAACCGGAGACCATTTTTACAGGAAATGAGGCATTCCTAATAAGGACTAATAAGTCCTTACGGGTAACAACGCATCTGCATTTTTATTCGTAATCGAGGATAGCTGTAGATGTTTATAGGCCACGGCAACCACTTATCAAGTGGACTATACACTCGTTTGTCACCCTTAAAAAAAGTTTAAGGTATTTTAAAAAAGATTAGGCTCTTGTCTTGAAGGTCCCTTAATCGCGTTGGATGATGAGATGTAACATGACTTCGGAACGCCAGTGGATTGAGCTATGACGTCATACATTTGGTTGAAAGAACGGATAAGAATGATAGAAGGATATCTGATAATTTCCAGGCTAATATAAAAATGTTCTGGAAACTCGTAAGAACTGCCAGGGGAAATACAAAACAGCCTATAATTTATGCTATAAGAGACGAGAATGGATGTATTCTGAATGATGAAGTTTCGAATTTAAACAGATGGAAGGAATACTTTGAAAGCGTGTTTATGAGTGAAGAGTCGTCTGAATTAAATGAACAAGAAATTCCGAAAGAAGTGGAAAAGAAAAAATTCCGAAGGAAGTGTAGATGAAATAATAAAAGCAGTGAAAAGCATGAAAGCAGGTAAGGTAGCTGGATATGATAGAGTATCGCCCGAGATGCCCGAGGCTGGAGAGGGAGTGGTGGCAGGCCTGCTGTACACCTTGTTTAATTTGTGTTGGGAATTAAAACGGGTACCGGATGACTGGTGTAAAGCAGTTATAGTACCAATATATAAAGGAAAAGGGTCACAGCAGAACTGCAAAAACTACCGTGGTATCAGCTTGCTTAGTATTGTGGGTAAACTGTATGCTAAGGTGTTAATTGAAAGAGTTATGAAAGAAACTGATGGAAAAATTTGGGATGTGCAAGCGGGTTTTCGAAAGGGTATGGGATGTACAGATCAAGTCTTTTCCATGCGCATGATTGCGGAGAAGTTTTTGGTTAAAAACCAGAAGGTTTTTTTAAGCATTCATGGACTTGGAAAAGGCTTATGACAGAGTGGACAGGAATGTGTTATGGCAAACACTTTGTTGAATATATGAATTTATCATCATACCGTGCCTATTTCTTATCATATCGTATCGGATACTATTAGAATCAGAGCAGCAAATGCGGCTCCATTTGCACAGCGACAATCTCTATATCTTCCACTTCTGGGATCCGCGTAGGCGAAGTAACCAGTTGTCAGACCGTATGCCAAGGCAAAACCATAAACAAATCTCCCCACATGATCGGTTAAACGTGAAGCGAGCTATTCGTTGTGGTCAGCGTCAAAATCGTCAAAGATCAAGATCTCTGCGGATGGGAT